TTTTTTTTTTTTTTTTTTTTTTTTTTTTTTTTTTTTCAGGCCATGTACTGGAGGAAGGTGCCATGTACCAGGAGAAGCTTGCATGCTATAGTGCAATGGGGGAGTAGGTCATAAATATATACATGGGTCTTATACATTGAGCAGGAATCTTCCCTCCCTCATAGCTACCAATATTGCAGACAGATAGGCTGACCTCATTTGTATGCAGTGGTCTATCAACACCTCTGCATCTGGCATGTGATGGGAGCAAGGCTGTAACACTGTGACAGTACTGCTATGTGAGGATCAAGCTTGCCTACCAGAAAAAAAACATGTGAGAATTGTATGACCCTCATTCTTGGCCTATTGAATATTAGCCAATTTTGGACACACCTTTGCCCATATTTTTCATGAGTCATCAGGTACTCCAGAGAGCCAAGCAGTCTCACAAGGAAGAAGAGCCCTTTTGAGACATTTTTTCCCCTTCGCAGATAGGGCAGCTCCAGCATTTGGGTGCAGAATGAGTGGTAGGGTTTTTGTATTTTTTTGTTTACAAGATTGACTGTACCTGCATTAAAGGATGGTTTCCTTTGGTTCTTTGCCAGAAGTCATTTTCCATTCACAATTCACCACTACTGCATTGTAGCTTGGCATCCTGTTGGACATTTCCTGCAAAGATCTTGTGGGAATCCCTGGCATGTCATATACCCCTTGCACGTAGAACCTATTAGGTTAAGTGCCCCATCAGGGATATCCCCTTCAGGCCTTTCTTAGCCTCTGCCAGTGGGTGTCCCTCAATACCGATGTTCTCAGGGGCATTTCTGAACTTGATGACTATTGAGACCTGGGAATATTTCAGGAAATAAGCTGTGAAAAAGCATGGTGAATTCACCAAAACCTATCAGCAGATGACTGTCTGTTGCATGCACTGATGCTCATTAAAGAGGTTCACTTATCTACATCCCAAAGCAACTCCTCCCCAAATAACAAATATCTGCATCCTCTCCTACAGTTGCTCAGTGAATGCACTTCAGCAGTAAGAGCAGCAGACAGACAATTAGACAATGTGGGCTCTGTTCCTTGTTCCAATTTTTTCCCCTCCTACTTAAAGCAATGGTATGAGAATTAATTACTTTTGTAAAGTGTGCAGTGATCCTTGCATGAAAAGTGTTGTAAGGCTGTAAACAGAATATTCATACAGCTATGGGAGAAGTGAATTGAAGGTGACCTGAAAAGTCAACTTTTCATTCTCCTGTCTCAATCAGTCAGAAATACCATTTTTAGTAGATACTTTTCGTGCTGTTTAAAGCCTTTACTGCTGCAGAGTGTCCCTTGTGCAGTTTCAGTGGGCAGGACTCATTATTCTATAGCACAAGAGGAGGCCTGAACAACTCCATGTCAAAACCCTGGAAATGCCTTCTTTTTGGGCAAAGGCAGGAAGATTAATACAGGAGATCTTAAGAGCAATCACTTGTCCTTTATACATAGTCTTAAAAAGTAATGGGATTGGTCTTAGAATTGTAGGTTGTTCCTTTATAGCTATATAAGCAAGTTGCTTCAGAAGAGTATCATTTTCGCTTCTACTTCTGTTCTATTTGAATAGTCAGTCATTGCTCATATCTCATGAACGAAGCCATGGCAACGTGAGACAAAATGAATGAAGACTTGTCTGGAGCTGTGCTTGTTACTTTTGTGCTATCAATGGCAAAAGCAGCATATGCCTTTTGTCTAGCAGATCTGAATCTCCTTCCACCTTTCAGCCATTGATTGCTATGACGTAGATAGTGACTTTAAGTACTAAGCAAGTTTCTACCACTACCTTGACTTTGGATGAAAAATGCCAGCAAGCTCAGTGCTTCTTGGTGGAATGGGGCAGGACTAACTGGCAGGTAGCAATGAAGATCATGTATTTTTGGATGGGAAAACTGGGCTAAGAACTAAGTTAAGAGCAGCCAAATGCTTCAAAGAATCTAGTCCATGAAATCTTGATTTGTTGTGCATGTACATAGTTAAATCAGCTCAGGGTTTTTTTTTTTTTAAGAAATAAAAATGAAAGTTTAATTTTCAAACTGAAATGGCGATTTTCCCAGTTTGGAAGGTATTCAGTTTTTGTTCTGACTCTTTTTTTTTCTTTAGTAAGAGGGAAGTAGTTAAAAAAAATCTGACAAGCTATATCAAAGTGTGGTTTTGAAATGACAGCTTGCATTTATAAAAGTTTAGATCTACCATGAAGAAAACTAAATATTTTGACTAAAAATTACAAGCAACTTTTTTGAGTTTTTCATTCAGTTTTTGACCACCTGCCCTTGTTAATTCATTTTAAATAGGTTTCATATGTGTGTTCTCATTTTGCTCTTCTCTGAGCCCCACTCTCCTGATGTTAACAGAATTATTGATCTTTGAGAAGGAAGAATAGAAAACACAATCTCAGTAATGTATTAAAAGTTACTGTATTTAAATATGTATGGTGTATGCAGAGATCAGAACAGTATGTAGTAATATGGAGTTTATTTGGTGATTTGGTTGTAATCCACAGCTGCTTTGGGTGTATATAGAAATCTGTAGCATAAACAGCCATTAGTAATTGTTAGATTCTCTAATTTGACCTATTCTGTATCACTTGCTGTTACATTCCATTGTTTTACCCTTGCACTGGATGGTTTGTGTTCAATAAGAACATTATCTTGAGAAAGTGCGTCGCACTAGATTTGAGGACTTCAAGAGGTGGTAAATCCACCATTTCTGTTGGTTGCTTCTGATCGGTAGTTACTTGCACTGTTAAAACATTTGTCTCTTATTTCCGGTTTGAATTTGTTTGGTTCCAGCTTCCTGCCAGTGATTCTTATTATGACTTTAACCACCAGATTAAAGAACCCTTCAGCACCCGCTATTTTCTCCGCTATTCCCATTGACTTCTGTCCACATCTGTTGCTGCTGTGAATGTGGATCATAAATATCGATTTGAGTTTATTGATCTTATTGATTTGCCCAGGTTTTCATTCTGAAATCTGGCAGATCTAGAACTAACTATTCCAGCAATAAAAAGGGATATGGAGAATCGAATCAAGGCACCGTTATGATATGTTCAGAGGGAGGCTGTATGAATGGTTAATAGTGATCTATTTTCCATCTTTTCACCTGTAGGATATCTGACAGATAAAGATCTCCTGAAGTTTCTCATCCGGTGCCAGAAAGGCTTGAAGGATAATGGTGTTATCATTCTCAAGGACAATGTAGCCAGGGAGGGCTGTATCCTGGATTGTCTGGACAGTAGTGTGATCCGAGACCTGAACATCCTCCACAGCCTCATTGAAATGAGTGGACTCGTCATCCTGCAAGAGGAGAGGCAGCAGGGATTCCCTGAGCAGTGCGTCCCTGTCTGGATGTTGGCCATGCAGAAACGCCCTGCCCATTCCTGACTGCATAATGTGGCAGCAAAGACTGGACTACGGATGGAGGACAAAGGGGAAGAAAAGCACCTGTAGAATACTACTAGCTACCTACTGCTACCACTGTAATTCCAAGGCAGCAACTTCTAAAGGATCAAGAGAGAATTACAATTGAGCCAGCTTCTCCAGGCAATAGTCTGCTTCTAAATCCTGCCTGCTTCACCATTTTTGAAAGACTTTCTGACAGCTCCTTGTAGGATTTCTCTTTTATTCAAGAGCCAATACTACAACAGAACTAAACTAAATACGGAGACTTCAGACTAATTATTTTCTAGTGGCTTATATGTTTTAGTGTGCTTTGCATGAGAGGTGAAACAAATAAGCTTGTTTTTCACTGGCGACTATGTTTTCCTGGAAGTTAAGAAGAATCTGTCAGATCACTGAAGCAGAATATTCAAATAGGTTCTGGAAAACCTAACCTACCTTGCTTATGTTTCTGCTCTGTAACAGTAGTGGCGCATAAGGATATTTACACTTCAGGGAAAAGATTATGTGACATATAAGCATGTTTGCTTTGAAAATTTGTGCAAAGATTGCCCCACAATCCACTTTCTGGAAAATGTTTTTTCAAAACGTTCACAGTGGAAACCACTTGAAAGCATCTCTTTATTATTCATACCACTGTAAATTTCTTTCTTTCCCACATTCAGAACAAATCTGGCACCATATGCAGAGCTAATGGGATTTCATGGGGTGTTAATAGTTAGAATGCAAAAAGAACTAATACAGTATTGTATTAATTAACAACTGTACTAAATTGCAGAGGGTGTTAGTAACCCAAAAGCATCTATGATTTATATCCAAACAGCAGCTGTGTAAGCCTGGATTTGACAATGCTAACACATACAATCTCCTTAGAGCTCACAGAAATTACACATTGACCTTCTTGTCCCTTTCATACGGGCACAGAAAGCACTGTGGGAGAACAGGGTTCTTTTTGCAAAGATTTTCAGAATTTGATGTTCTGCTTCATTCTGAATGAGTGCAAGAGGAGACAGTTTTGTTTTTGTTTACAGAGAATAGTCAGTAATGGTCCTAATGAGAACTATGGACAAAATCAAACATTTCCTTTGAGTTAAGGTTCTAAAATAATTTACATTTTAAATTTTTGTTATTATAATGCAGCAAAAAATGTAAATGAAGCATGGCTTGTTCAAAATGTAAGAATGGACTGTTCTGACTCTTTCAGAATTTTTGTCTTATTTTATTCACCTGCAATTCTGGAACAACTGGCTGGGCTTTTTTAAAAGTTGTGTTATGACAAATGTCCATGTTCAGATGGAAAAGGTTCTATGGAATATCCTCCACGTGGCTGTATGCACAATTATCTTTGTCAAATATTGTCACCTGTGTAAGATTGACTCACATAGGAGCCCAAAGACAACAAGGGACAACAGGGAACTTCTCAGTTGGATTTTAGTACTCTTGGCCACCCTTTGATAACAGATCTCCAGATTTGTTTTAATTGTGTAGCTCATCTTCTCTAGCAATATGAATGCATATGTTGAGAATTTCCAGTTCATGGCATAGAGCTTCATGCTGTCAAATCTTATTCAGTAATTAGTGTGGTTTTTTTTTGTTTTTTTTTTGTTTTTTTTTTTTTTTTTTTGTTTTTTTTTTTTTAATGTGCCATCACTGATTGTAGCATTAAGGAAAAATAACTCTGGTGATTTGTTGAATAGTCTGGCATGTCATGTAACATAGGAACCTATGGCTCCCATGATGCAGATTCTTCTGGAATGTCTTGGCTAATTCTTCCATTTGAATCAACTGGTAATGATTGCAAATGTATCACACGATGCTAAAAACACTAGGTGAAATTTTTTGTTCTGGAATTGTCCCTTGGAATAAGGGCTTTTAATTCCCATTAAACCACTACAATTCTTTCATTCCCTTTTAGCACCAGTTAAAAGCTGGTGCCATGATTGGGTGAATATGAGTATGTGCAGAAATTTGAAGGAAAACCAGTCATTAGTTTTGCAGGAAAGAAGCATCAGTCCTACAGTTAGCTATACTCACTAGCAGTAAGAGGCAAATATTTAAAAGATCTAGACATGCGTTACAAATTAATTGGTTCTACATCATTTTCTCTTCCAGCCAGAAACTTCTGCCATGGTGCAGAATACCTGGGAACTACTGGAAATCCTCATGTCTGTGCCAGGCTTATGTGAACGATGTTGGTCACTTCAATGACAAGAGAACAGCATTGTGGAAATAGGGAGGTAAATAATTTTATACAACTCTAAGTTGTTGCTGACAGCTGTTATCGTGCAGAATACATCAGCTGTTCATTTACACACCAGAGGAGTGCTGTCCCAAGGTGGATACAGCATGAAAAGTGATTAGAAGAAAAGATAGAATATCAATGTCTGGTATCACTATCAGTGAAATAGATTTTTCAAAGTAAAAAAGTTTTTTCTGTATTTTGTACATCTCTCTTATTTTAATTTCTAGACTATATCTGCATAAACATGTAGTGAAAATTAGTTATTTTAACTATGTTAATAGTTAATGGAGAACGGAGCCAAGTAAAGTCTTAACTTAGTAGAAAAAAAAGCATATTTCATGGTTACCACATTCCTGAAAATTAATGTTTCATGGCTATGTTGCTTCCACAGTAAAATATTAAAGCTTTTCTGGTGACATAATGAACCTCAAGAGTAAAGAAACACAAGCTCCCCAGGGGCACAGATGCATGGGATTGCTTATGACAGAATAATATTTTGTTTTCCTCCTTTTCCAAGTATATTTTAATTCAAAAATTCACAGTTAACTGCTGTAGGCGGTGTTACACTCTTAAAAAGTGCATGAATTTGGGTAAGGGCCATTCTTGGTTTTAAAGTTCTGGCCTCTCTGGACTTTGCTGTAGAATGTAATAATAATAATAATGAATCACAAATTTCAAAGAGAAGAGCTTGCTTAGAAACCATCCATGCATCGGTTGCTCTTTGGTGTTCAAACACTGGATGAGAACTCAGTTGCTCTGCCTCAACTTCCAGGCTGTTTGAAACATGCGTTTAAATCTTCAGCTCATCAGTTTGCAGTGGGGGTTTGAATCCCATTTGCTTGGTGTTCATTTAAGTACTCCTGATCTCAACGTTAAGAGGAATTTAATCCAATGTCAGTACCCTAGTTGAAGCGAGTTTCACGGAACACTCTGGATCCTGCAAGCTCAAACTGTAGTTCACCACTGACAGGTAATTAATGAATTAACAAATTAGTCATTCAATCAGATATTACTCCCAGGCAAACTGCTAAAGCAGTCTCTTAGCTAAGGCATGCTAAAGCTCATCTCTGCCATACCACTGCCAGAACTCTTCATAATGTCAGGTTGTCCCATATCAGGTTTGATGCTTATTTTCTGCACGACTGAAAGCCAGTGTCATTTAATGTATGAATGAGGAATGTAATGAAAGGAACGAGAGGTTCCTTGCCAAAGAGATCCCTTAGCCCTGACAGCCCTTAGGTGCTACTGGAACCAAAACAAAATATAGAATCAATCGTTAAAGCACTGTGAATAGCAATCCCAACAGTGCAGCTCCTGCAGCCATTGCAGCTCAAGCTGTTCATGTTCAGAAAGCGACCCAGACGTTACAAATGTCTTTTCATTTCTGATTGGAAGGGAGAGCCGTTGTTTTGAAACGTATCTCTGAATGGATATTCTAAAATATTTTGTTTCAGAAATACTGAAATGATTGTATCGAAATTTTCAGTTTGTATTTCTTGTTTGGATATTTATATAATTTAACCTAAACTTAAAGGTTATGTGAGATGATATCTTAGATAATACATGATATAGTGTTGTAATAGTTGAAGTGAAACATTAGTTTCCTACAAAATAATAAATTCCATACATTTCCTGGCCCCAAATTTAGTGAAACAAGCCAGTTGTTTCCAGAGGAAAGTAATTTCAAGAACTGTCCTGTCAAGAAGTATTTGCCCGAGCTGTTTCTTTTCAGATGTATTGCATTGGTTCAGGCATCTTCCCTGTGCCTGGCCTAGGGAACAGCCACCTTGGGCTCTTTGATGGGCAGCAAAATAAAAAAACAGGTATCTTCAGAGCAATTCAGACCAGCTCAAAGTGAACTGGCTTGAAGTAAGAGAGTATCCTCTCTCCTCAGTGGCTGTAGGAGTGAAAGTGCATCCTTATAACTGATTTAGTCACCTCTTTACTAATGGCAAGCAGAAGTGCAGTGTGACCTGAGGAGCTGTGACTGTTGAAACCAGCAAAGAACATGGGCATGGATACTGAAACACACATTAAAAATCAGTTGTGGCACTGAGGCACAACATTAATGTGAGGAATATTATCATACTACCATAATCAGTTGACACAGTGCCAACCGATAAGAGATTTATCAGTTACACCTTAAAGTGCCCTGAGTGCCTTTATACCATTCTCTTGTTTGTCTTCCATTCTGTTAATCCAGATCCCCAGAGATTTAGGATGGTGCATCAGACAGTAGGCCTGTCCAGAGGAACCTGACTGCTACATCTGATTAAATTCAGTTGTCTTGCATCCCATTCTTCTTCAGTTTTGATGCTTCTTCTAACTTGCCAAGACATTCCTCCTGCACTTGCCAAAAGTGATTTGTTCTCCATGGACATCACCACACCTCACCGAAATAAAATGAGTTACCTTTGATTTTAAGAGGAGGTAATTCTGTTCATCTGAGAGCAATCACAGCGTGCTGTATGTCAAGGATGGAAGTTAATACCCATCTTTTTCAGTTGATGTCACGTAGGCACTCCCAGACCTTTATACAAAGTTTGCATTCTCATCATCACCATAAACAATAACAGTATTTGAATGACACTGTACATCCCTAGACCTTGATGCATGTGTTATCATTGTGACTTGGATGAGGAAACTGAGGCACAGAAGAGTGATCTGGGCTGCATTACAGTTCTCTATAAGTGGGAGCTGTGAGTGATTAACACCTCCATGAATTAGGCCTCTACAGGAACTATGGAGTGTTTTGCAGGCAGACATAAACTTACTCTGTGCTCAGAGCGGATTGAAACAGTGTGGCTGCGGTTAGCCAGCTTACTAGGCCAAGCTGGTATGTCCTGCAGAGAGAGGACTCGGGCTGAACATTGTGCTCATGAACATATACAGCTTCTGATTGTCTTGAAGCATCAGTACACAACAAAGCAGTGTACACCTGCAGCAAAAATAAAGACACAAAATTGGTGGAGCATCTCTCTTCCATGTTTCTCCTTTCAAGAAATGTTGAATTTGCAGGCTTTTTAACCCAGTCTGGTATTCTCAAGCTCCTAAGACTAAGGTTTTTAGAGATGTTTGAATAAATCTTACAAGTGCACTTAATGGACGCTTGCTGGTCAGTGGATTCCTATAGATCTCTGAAGATCTGGCTTCTAAGAATCTAAGCTTCACTCAAGGCTAAGCTTACAGAATCATCTGGAAGACCAGATTTGAAAGCCCTCAAGTGCTTAGAAGCGGATGTAGGAAGATAGGTACGTGTGTGTACACACACAGTTAACAGTTTTGCAGATGTGCTGCATACATGTTGAACAGACAGCTTGTATTTGCTGAGGTGACCTGTGGTCCTTGAAATATATGTGGCTTGTCAGCTTTTAATGGATCATCAGCTGCAGAAGAATGATGACTGTTGTGTAATCTGGATCTTCCACAACACAAATAAATAGTCCAGCAGGGTTTGCCAAGAACATTTCCAGATCAGCATTGGATGCTATTTGCTGAACTTGGTTCTATCCCAACAATCTGTGACAGGATCTCCTGAGGGACACCTAGCATGTCTTGCTTCCACACGGGGCTACCCTAGTCACTTTGAAGTACAGTGCCTGTATCTTATGCTTCTCAATCATGAGGATTTGTGATGTGGTACATAGGACCAGCTAAAATAACCTAACGACCATGGGGCTCCCTTCTCCGTGGCTGCAAGTAATCACAGGCACATCAAGGGCGAGAGGCTTCCGACCTAATTCAGACATCTAAGAGACGTTTTAAGATAATTGTCAAAACTTCCTATTACAGTCACTGAGGAGAGATCAGCTCTACCAGAAACTTTCTACATGGTTATCCTATGTACTGAACTTTACTAGGAGCCTACAGGCTCTTTAGGTTCTGACAAATCACAGAATTACAGAATGGCACGGGTTGGAAGGGACCTCAAGGATCATGAATCTCCAACCCCCTGCCACATGCAGGGCCACCAGCCTCCCCATTTCATACTAGACCAGGCTGCCCAGGGCCGCATCCAACCTGGCCTCGAACACCTCCAGGGATGGGGCATCCACAACCTCCCTGGGCAGCTGTTCCAGTACTTCACCACTCTCATGGTAAAGAACTTCCCCCTGATATCCAACTTCAATCTTCTTCTAAGTCAATCTCAGATGTTTAAATGAAGTTAGATGAATTCCAGCTCAAGTGCAGTTCTATGAGTCCACTGTGACACCAGTTGTCAGTACAAGTCTGTCCTTTCTGTAGCCCCAGCAGTATAAATCTTAAAAATCTCTACTGAGGACCAAAGTGAAGATTCTAGGTAGCTCACCGGTTTTATTTATGGATCAGTGCATGTGTGCATTGCTAAATAAACAAGTGGCTTCTCCTAAAATTAGGGTGCCATTGCAAA